GGTTTCCTCTAATGAGCAGTCTTTGCTCTGGGGCTCCCAGACTTTCCCAGAGCTGCCCTGCAGACTGAGGCTCTTCCTACCCAACCCCTCTCCCTTCTTCCTCTCGCATCACAGGCGTTACAGCATGCATAGCAGTCAGACACTCTTGCGTCCTACTCCTGCTCTTGTTCCTCTTTATCCTTCGCAGGTGTTTCCACACACAAGCATCTTGCACTTCTTATTCAATTTTACTATCTGTGGAACTAGTACAATTGGTATCGATGAAGCAAAGAAGGAGGGAATTTTGAGAAGAGAATGATCAACTGTGTTAAATGCCAAAGAGAGACTAAGGAGGAGGGAGACAGTAAAGTATCATTAGGTTTGTCATCATGGAGGTCAGTCTGACCTAACTATTGATGTTCAGAGTCCCTCTTCTGCTCTTCTAGCTCCTCTTAGTTATATTCTCCCAGATCCCCTTCAGCCTTTCTCATGCATTATGATCATCATGCATCTCATCTCTACCCCTCTCATTTGGACTCGTTTAATTATTAATATCTTTCCAAACTCTGGCACTAAGCCTTGAGCTCAGTATTCCAAATGCAGTCTGGTCAGTGCTGACTACAGGAGGATTATAACTACCTATTATCTCAACACAATATTGTAGCCTAAACGTGGATTCAGTTTTTTTTATAGTTGCAACAAACTCAGGGCCACTGTGCTGCCGAACTCCAGGGGATCAAAACACAATCTATAATTACAGAATCCTCAGCTCCAACCTGGCGTCCCGGTCAGGAAACATCTCCAAAAAATGTATTTGCTCCCCTCTGATGAATGAGATCATCACAGGGACAAGAAACCTGGTCTCGTAGATCCTACTGTAAAGTTCCTGCCCTGCCAACAGTTCATCAGGACAGATGTCATCTCATCACCAAACAGCTTTGATGCACCAACAAAGCAGAGCATAGAGTGCCTCTACCCAGTATTGCTTCCCGGTGAGGTCTTGCAAAGACCAACAAGTTAGACGAGAACCTCTTCTTGGGAAGCCAGGATTTCAAGGGGGTGCTCTTTGGCCTGCACTATAGGTAATACCTTTTTAGACTCAATTTGAGGGGTGCAGGCTCTGTGAAAAAGAGACAACAAAATATCAGAGGATTGTAAGTAAGTGCATGCTGAGTATAGGCTGGGTAAGAGAGAGAGAGAGAGGTGCTGAATAATCTTATCAACGAAACTCCTCATTATATTCATTTTTTATCCCATGATAGATTAAAGCATAGTGTTTCCCTGGTTCCCTTTCATATAACACCTAGCCTAAAATTCCCTTTAGATGCCCTCAGTTAAAGGATATTGCTCTGTCCCCTAGCTCCCAAATACAGAGGGAGGCCACTGTTGGGCCAGACCAAGTTGACCAAGAACAGATGTGGTGACATACACTGTGTTTCCAGGGTAGATTACTGCCCAGTGTTCTCCTGCTGGCCTTTTCTGTAGAAGCTTTATTCTAGTTATTATTATTCCCTTAGGAGGACTCCACTACCCTGCTGCTGACAAAACCTGTTGAAAAGCAATCCCCTCATAGATCTAGAAAGTTCATGTCTTTGGGAAAAAAAATCTGCTCATTTGGTTTAAACCTGGACTAGAGTTTTTCTTGATCAAAACAGACAAAAAAAAAAAAAGCAAGCAAGCAAGCTCAGTTAAATAATTCAAATAACGTACCAGGAGTTTTTCATTATTCCTTACCCCCTGCTCATGGGTGAAGGCAGATGTGAAGGTAACCTATTTCTCAGAGTGACTCAGATCTCCCCCCCCAGGAAACAGATCTGTTTGCTTGTCCTGAGTTTATGGCAAAGCCCAGCTGGATCAAGGCCTCTCTCAGCATTAGAGCCAAAACTTCAGCCTGGAGTCTAATCATCTGGGTTACTTAAAGATACTTTTTAAGAAAAAATTATGTTTAAATTAAGACTCATCTGGTAGTATGAACGTTCCCAGCTGAGTGTCTGATACCATCAGAAATAGTTTAAACATGTGTTGATGGAATAATTGTTCTCATGGCAAAAGGAACAAGAGGAAGGAAACTCATGACAATCTCCCTGCTGCTTTGTATTTCATGTACAAATGGCTAAGCTCATATGAAATTTGTGAATAATACTGTTCCAGCGTAAGTGTGGAGCCGTTTCCACACATTCTCTCTCTTTGTCTCAACATCAGCACCACTAACTGGGTGTCAGTAGCTGAAAATGTCTGTATTAACTTTTAATATCTGAAAGTATGACACTTTTACGTTGCTGATGCCAATGTTTAGGGCTTACCTCTCACCTAAAGAGAGCCCTCTTTGGTCCTTCCAAAGAAACCCAAAACACCATGTCTGGAAATCTGAGTGCAGCCTGTTTTTTGCTGCTTGGTGCAAGGCCTCTTAATTAGTCTCTCTGGCCTCATTCTTCTTCTAATAAAACCACACCTGGCCAGGAAACATGCTTCTCAAAATGCCAACAATGGAAACATGGAAGTCCTGAGGGAACACTAAATTTGGAATGAATGTGAGTTCACTTTTAGGAATATTAAGTTTGAGAAGATGAAAGGGCATTAAGGAGAAGCCATTGCAAGGATAGTGACAGATTTAGAAAGTGCAAGAGGAAATTAGATCATGACGTCTAAATTTGAGTCATACAAATAAAGACGGTAGAATCATGAGATCGCTAAGAGAATCTGAGAGTGTAGGGCAATGGTGAGCAGCTTAACAGGAGCAGAAAATGTTTCTGGATCTTGTTTTTAAATTTTTTTTAGTTTATTTTTTAGTGGGGGGAGATTATTAGGTCTATTTATTTATTATTAGTTTGTTTTGTTTTTAATGGAGGAACTGGAGAATGAACCCAGGACCTCATGCATGCTAAGCATGTGCTCTACCATTTGAGCTATAGCCTCCCTCCTGACCTTGTTTTTTAAACATATAAAGCGAAAATAATGTTACTGACTTCGATAACAAGACTTTATGCTGTGGGATGATTTACTAAAATATGAGTATGTATCCATTCTTCCCCAGGAAGTATTTTCCAGCTTGTCTTTCTTTAATGTATTTGTGATGTGGAATTTAGGGAAAGGTTAGTGAAGACATGATAGTGCAGAAGTGAGAAGACAAGGGGGATAATTTATCCAGAAAGGAGCTAAATCAACTTTTCAGGTGTTGGAAGAAGGGGAAAAGGGAGAAAATAATGAAAAGCCTAATAAACTGGGTCCTAGAAAAAGCGTTTGGAAATTTATGTTTGAGGACTAGAGAGAACTGAATGGAACTCAAGTGTGGCTCTAACCGTGAATGGGTTCCTCATAGATGCTCTTTGAGAGCTGCAATTAAAGATTGAAATACCTTTTTAAAATTACGGTGTATCTTTTTATGTGGTCCTGAGAAGAGCCTGAGGTAGGTGGGAGCCCAAAACTAATTAGGGTTATAAGAAGAATGCCAATGGGACATTT